CTACACAACAACGGCCATAGTGGGGCACCGGCATTACTTGTAAGGCCCATGTGACAAGACAAGAGCTGTCCCCCGTGTCCCTCCCTCCAAACTGTTCCCCCAGAGGAACCACTTCTGTGCTCCAAAGAGTGGGGTATGCAGGGTGGGGGTGCATCACGTACCCAGACTGTCTGAGCCAGAAAGTTCCCCAGGTCGCAAAACTACAGCAACTCTAAGAACAGGGAATTCTTTTGAGACCTGAATAGGACCAGAAAGCAGGCGTTCTCACCCCAACCAACACTAGGAGACCCAGAGACACAACAAAAAGACCCGGCAGGTGCTCAGAACCAAGGCAGCGCTCCAAGATCATCCTAGCTCCACGCGAGCCCCAACTTGCCTGGCACTGGGCCAGCTCATGGCAGCAGCTCAGATGTGAAGCACTAGGGGTGTGGATGTTGGTCTTCTTACCCATGCTCTGACTTATTGGAAAAATAATTTGAAAAAGCAAATTCTGAAACTTAAAATGTGTTTAAAAGACTCAGGAGAGTGGCTAAAACAAAACCAAGGAGAAGGTAAAATTAGAACACAGATATGCAAAGTGGGGGTCCTGCTTGAACCCCAGCACACGGGATTTTGAGATTCCTTGTTGCAGAAGTGAGCACAGAAACCCAGTGAGCTGTCACCCTCCTGTCTCCCAGGGTCACTGGCTGTCTTCAGTCTGCCGGTCCGTGGTGCCTTTCCAGGTCAGTGCTGTTTTCCGCCTGTTCTCGTAGGAACCACCCTCCGCACCCTTCCTGTCCTCCTTTCCTTGCCCATCTGCAGATTTATTTTCAGCCATCTTCTCCTTCTGAAGCTGCAGGGCCTACACAGAGAGGTGAGCTCAGCCCACTCTTTCCTCCTGGCCCCCAGGCTGGTGTGGGAAGAGACCCACACGCCTCGAAGCAGCCAGCATCAAATAGCCAAGCTCTGGCTTCTCCTCAGAGCTCAGGGACTGCTGTGACCTCCCTCGCCAGCCTTGGCTCATTTCTAATCAGCTTTTCCATTATCTTGCACTGAAGTCCTCCCAGAATCGTGTTAATTGCCTATCACTACAGTTGGGTGGTTCATTTATTTTTTTCTAATGTAGGAGATCCAAATAGTTTAACCCTGTTTTTTATTTTAAAACTCTGAGGTTTGTAAATTTTGGAGTTTCTAAAGCCAAAGTAGCCAGACATATACTTACCCGAAGCCATGTATACGCATGCCATCACACACTGCCAGCATTTCAGGGCAGACCATCCAGGCGAGGCGTAAGGGAGTTGAGGGAGGTGGGGAAAATGATTCAGAGGTCTGCTACAGAAGCAGCACAGCATCATCACCGGCATCATCAGCGGCCCATCCACACCAGTCCATCACCAGCACTGCTTCCCCCTCCACCATTACTTCTGCCACCACCGGACCACACCAGCACTATCGACAACACCACATCGTCACCACCACCACCAATACCAACACATCTGCACCAATGCCATCATCACCACTTCCCCCATTCGGCATTATCACCACCAGCCACAATGCCACCCCACTACACCATCCCAACCACTCTACTGGCAACACCATATCACCAACGCCACCATCGATGCTGGCTCCCTCATCCCTGTCATCACCAGCCACAATGTCATGGCCACCAACAACACTACCTTTACCACATCATCAGAGTCACCACATCCTCACCACCATGTAAAGCCTCATAGGCAGATATACACCCACATAAACACTTGCAGGATGGATCAGACCTTTAAAGTATAAAAACTCTCATCAAAGTAGACCTTGAAGAATGTGGAGAAATAAAAACAAAGTAAAAATAGAATAACATAGACACAGCCATTTAACAGGTTGAGTAAAATAGAGTTGGCCAAGAAATGGGAATTCTGGAGATTTACCTAGAAAATTTGAAGTTGCAAGGTAAAAGAAACACTGCCTGCTCTAGGCAAGGGGTTAAGTGCAGACAGCTGGCACAGGGAGGCCAGGCTTGAAATGAGCTGACCTGAGCAGTGAGCAATGACTCAGTGGCTCGAAAAAGGAAGCCAGCAGTGGTTTGGGGCAGTCTGAGGAGTGGGAGACAGGAGCCCCAACCCAGAGCTGGAACGTGTGCCTACCAGCATTCTCTGAGCCAATCTGAGATTCTAGTGACCTAGTCTACAAAATGGCGTTGACTTGTGAAAGTCAAAGGATTCTCACTACTCAGAGTTACACAAAAGTGCAGACAATACATCCAGCTCAGAACAGTTTGCTTAAAGTATGTTACTTCCTTTGTCTCAGATCTGAGACTCGATTTTTAAAAGAAATGAGTAGACAGATAGACTGAAGAGAGTAGGTGTGGGGCGGGGGAGGCCTTTGTAATTGAAGCTCCAGAAGGTAGAGACACCAGCCTGTCATCCAGGCTGGCCACTGCCCCATCTGTCACTTTTGTCCTGAGGATTGAACAAAGGGATGTTGCATTGACCTATATCTCCAGCCCTTTTTCATTTTTTGTTTTGAGGCAGGGTCTTGCTAAGTCACTAAGTTGCCCAGGTCAAGCTCAAACTTGTGGTCTTCCTATTGGAATCCCATCACACAGTGATGGGATTACAGGTGTACAACCTTGTACTTGGCTTGAAATGTCACTTGCTGGTTTGTTATTCATCTAAAGGACTTTCCATTGTCCAATTCTGCTTAAATGCAAATACTGCCAAGAGAGATACAGCCTTACACCCTGAGGCATGGGGAACCAGCTCAGACTTTGGATAGTCTAGGCCAACCCTTCCCCATGGTCCCTGAGTATATTATAGGCTGATATTTGAAGTTTCTGAATATTCAGAGAGGAAAGAGCAGTCAGAAAGTATAAGCCTCAAGTGGATCATGTTGGAACATCAACATTCAGATGGAAAGACTACTCATTTGCAGTTAACCCTAATGGTTCCAACACATATGCACAAAGCATGAGCTGGCTGCCAGGAAGCCAGTCCAGAGTCTCCACATTCCTTGAAGCAGACTCTTCCCTGACCTCACACCGTATCTATGAATGTTTGAGAGAGGTGAGTACAGGTTCAAGGTTCTTGGACTCTGCTGCAATTAGACTCTTCTGAACAGCATTTGAAATCTCAGGAGCCAGAGCACAGCTGGAACACATAGAGCAAAGCCTCTGGCATCAGTATTGTAAATGATGATATGGATCGGCAGCTATATCTGAGACCCAGCAGAGAGAGAAGCACAGGAACCTTCCTTTTCCAAACTGACTGTGCTCACAGTGTGGCTCCAGATAAGTATCCTGGAGTCTGCCAAGCTGGCTGCCTTCACTTGTGAAGTAGGATGAGCAACTCTCCATTTCTGGGTAGTTGTAAGGAGTACAGATAATGTGTGCAAAAGTGTCCCAGGAATCGGTGGGGCTGGCAACAGGGAGACATTTTATTTGTAATTTTAGTGATTAAGACACCGAGGCAGCCTGTGCCTCCACCTGGAGAAACAGACTGTCCAAGGCCCCTTTTACCTCAGCAACCTGGGACTCTGCCATCAAACTACTCCAGTCAAGTTTGGCAAGGTGGTCTTGAGTCGCCTGGATAGACAAGCATCATGGGGGAGGCACATCTCCCCAACACCTGAACTAAGGCACAACAAAATAGCTCCCAACTCACTCTTGACCCATATACCACATTGTCCGGTGACTCACCATTCACAGGCATGACTTGCAACCTCTCTTTGTCTTTGTCACCAGCCCTTCATGTCCTAATGAGCAGGGCCCAAGAGTGACAAGTCAAGACTGTGGACCCTTGGGCCATGCTGCAGGCTGTCCAGGGCTTCAGGGCTTTGGGGTCCCAAGGACAGGTGGAATGTTGAGGAATTAGATTTTCAATCCCAGCATTACTGATATTTGTGGTATTCTTTGGGGGCCTATCCTATATGTTCCATCCACTATGTGCTAGCTGTACTCCCAGCTGTGATATCAAGATTTTCTCTAGGCCTACCTAATAGCCCCACCCACTCTCACAGAGAACCCCGATGTGGGCTCACATCCCTCTCACAGCATGCAGAGAGGAGCAGTGGCGTTCCTCCATGTGTCAGAATAAACCCACACCGGGAAGGACCATCCTGTACAGGACACAGTCATTTCCACTTCAGATGGCAGACAGGGACTGAGAGAAAGGACAGGAATGGGGTTTTCTTCTTCAAAGTGTCTTACAAGAACACAATCACGCCTTGGGGGCTGCAGCTAGGCACTGGGCCTCACACAGCCCAGTGACACAGAGTGACAGGTGCCCACAAGGCTCTTGGCGGCTATCAGGGGCAGCTCTCCACCCACAGGGCCTCTTGTCTGGCCCCCTACCCCTTTCTTCCCAGGCGACAGCTCTTCTTCCCTACTCCGGGGTGGGAGATGCCAGCACCAAGGTGGTGGTGGAGGATTGGGGAATATGATATAAAATAATATAACAGGCAACATAAAATACTAACATGCAAAACACACATATGCAGAGGGAATGAACGTGGCAGTAGATACACCAAACCTCAGTATGGTTATTGATAGAAGGCGGCTGGAATTTCAGCTGACTCTTCCCATTCATGTGCTAATCCTACTTGTTTTCTCATTTTTCCACCCTGAACACAGTTAACTTGTAGCAAGAAAAGCAAAACTCATTCAAAAAAGTAAAAAAAAGTAAACACTTTAGAAGACACATAAAACCAAGCTGCCGGAAACACCACTATTTCCATTTTGTCACCTATTGTGGGGAAGGTGTCCCTGTGTAGCGACCGTGTAGCATTTAGACAAGGGACAGGGTGTAAATGAGGAATTCTGCGAGGGTGCTGCCTGCAACCCCAGGAGGGACACTGGGCAGCCGCATTGGGGGAGAGGGGCAGCCGCTGTCCTCCCCGGAGCTGTGTCGGAACCATGCAGGGTCCGCTAGGGTGGCGTATGCGGCGCACAGGGGACCAGGCTAGTGCTCTGAGCCTAAAGGCGGCCTGGTCGAAGTGGGCGACACAAGTGAGCACGGGACCTATGACCACACCTTGAGGCCAGGTGGCTGGGCCGGGATGGGATCGCGTGCGGCTTCTGATGGGAACACGTGGGGCAGGCACGGGCGGTGACCACAGTCCTTGCAGCCTCGGAAAGGGCCGGCTCTTGGGTGGCCCGAGTTGCCGGTGTCGGTCGGCGCCCCCTGTCGGGTCTCCGCGAGCCCAGCGTCCCGCCGCTGCGTCTGCGTCGCCAGCCCCGCCTCGCCGCGGACTAGACCGCCGCTGGCCCGCGACTCTGCCGCTCTCTGCTGGCCAAAACCAAACGACACTTCCGCGCGCTTCCTGCTCCTGCGAGGACGCCTACGCTCGCTGTGCCCTTGAAAACCCTGAAACGGGGGGACTGCGTGACGGGGGACACGGTGATAGTGTCGGTTTAGCTCAGTAGCAAAGTCCTCTTGGGCCGTCCGAGGGACGCGAGAAGCTGGCTGCGCGGCCTGATGGCTCGCCGGAGCGCGAGTGGGGTGCCGCGGGGACTGTGCGCAGAGGGCTGAGTGGGGACGAACCCTGGCAACCAGACGTCGACTCAGTTCCCCGAGGTCCTGGCGGTGACAGGCACAGCCCGCCATACAGGCAGTACCATCACAAGCCCAAGGACAAGCGAGGTGGATGGCGGCTTCCGGGAGGAGGTGGCGCCGGAGGGCGTCCTCGGGTCAGCAGAGGACATGGAGGCTGCAGGGGGCGTATTGTCGCTCTTCTGGGCTGCCTCGCCCAAGTGCCACAGAGAGGAGGCTTAACAGATACTTAGTCTTTCCTGGCTCTGAAGTCCAGAGTCAAGCTCCCTACAGACCCTGCTCCCAGAAGGTGCAGGGGGACCTACTGAGTGCCTGGCTAAGCAGCAGAGCAGATAATCGGCTCTGCCTCTGCTTGCGTGGCGCTGTTTCCTGTCCTCTGCTTATTAGGACAGCAGTCCTTCTAATAACTTCGTATTACCTGGTTACATCTGCAAAGACCCCATTTCCAAAGGTCACAGGTCCTGCAGTCACCACTCACCCTACAGCTGGCACGGTTGGAGTAGGCATGGAAATTTGGAAGGGGTGCAGGGAACACCACAGGATCTCAGTGACCTGTGATCTGAGTGGCCAGGGCACGCACGAGCCTGGTGCAGCAAGGATTTGGGGCACTTCTGCTTCCCCAGGGAGAGATTGGGACATAGGTAATTTTTGACTGCATAGGGTTTTGACGCCATAGGGTTTTAGATCAAGCTGTATACTGTAGGTAATGATTTATGTTTGATTCTCAAAATCAAAAAGAAGAAAAAAGAGCTCGATCTCTTTTTCTAGTTTGAAGCAAGCCATGTCCACTGGGAAAGGGGTTAAAGAGCACAGAAGATATAAGGAAACCCAGCCCAGTTCCAGTGCCAGGTAATAACTGCCAGGGAAAAGTGGGTCTGCGTGCATAAAAGTTTTGGTGGCACTGTTCACACTGAAAATACTGCCAACCCTTCAGCTGCTACCACCTTGGCCATCACTTTGTAAATCTAGTTTCTCAGCTTTTTAAGAGGGCTATTCATCCTTCAGAGTGTGCCCCCGCTGTTAATACTAGGTGCCTCTGTAGGTGGTAGGTGCTTTGCTCACATGGTTTGGTAGGAGCCCAGGTGAGTGCAGGGAAGGATGTCCCAGGACTGTTTTGCTGAGGAATGATGCAGTGTCCTGAGGACGGGAAGGGAGAAAGGGAGCTTAGGGGGCAGCTGGCCAGAATCAGGGCTGAACTGGATTCAGAGAGGGAGTTTAGAACAGTGGCTCAGAACCAAGCACCTGAGTGACCTGTTGAGCCAAGCTCCCTTTCTGGGTGGCAGTCAGAATGGGGTACGGGGGACCTACAGGGGCTTAAAGGAGCCAGATATATTGGGACAGTGTGATGTGTGTGTGTGTGTGTGTGTGTGTGTGTGTGTTTGCAGCTTCTTTTGAACAAAACAATTCTGCTAAACAAAACTGCTAAATATCAATAGTATCAAATGGTAAACTATCTAATTGCATAGGATAAGACTTCAGAAAAATAAAGGTGTGCAACAAAGGTATCTGTGAACTTTCATTCACATGTCTCTTTCCCATAGTTTAGGGGAGATTTCCTTTGTCCTGACCCTGGGTAGCTCAGGGACCTCTGTTCAACTAGCACCAGAACTTGCTTTAGAGTTAACCCAGTGATCTGGATCCTCCTTTAATTCTTCTGCCTTCCAACCGGCCAGGATACCTGTCTTTTCTCTGATCCCCTTCATGGCAGAGGGAAAAAAATGACTTTGTTAACTAGTAATTTCCCTGAGACTGTTTTTCCTCTATCCAGAAGTGGCTACATTTCCCAACCTCTGGCTCCAGCTATTCCCAGTCAGCTAGAAATAATTCCCAAAGTTTGAATAATGCTTGCTTACGGTGAAAGTGGGGCATTGCAAACAGCTCTGCTTGAGGTCAGTGTTTACAAACTGTTCATTCTGGGAAAGTTCTGTTATGATCTCAGGCATATAAGCAAGCCAGGATCATTTATAGAAACAACCAAAAACTGTTTTGGTACACAAGATGTTTTGTGTTGAATTTATCCCAAATTCCAAGGCAGAATTTCACATACCTCCTGGAATAAGAAAGCTACAATGGGAAAATTTCAACGGCATTTATTTTTATTTATAATTTATACCCTGCCAGCTTCTAAAAAGATTGAAGACAGCTTCCAATAAAAGACATGTACTCAAAAAGTTTTCTAAATTGGGAAGAGAAAATGAAAAACTCCTGAAGGAGGAGGAAGCCAAGAAGGTAGTAAGAGTAACATGACTCAAGATTAAGTTCAGTTCTGAGCTTTCTAGAAGCTAAAGCAAAGATGGAAACGCTCAGGGTTGCAAACTTTTCATTATCTGAGTACAGAAAATGTGGTTGCAAAGCAGTGGATTAGCTCTGTAGGGCTATCAATGGGCCTTGTGCCGGGTTCATTTGGTGACTGCTATAACGTCCTATGAGGAAGCCCACAGGGAGGGTCCTGCAGGCACAGGAGGCGGCATGGGGCCCCGGGCATTGCTAGGACTCGAGGCTGCACAGCCTGGGCCAGCCACTCGATGCAGAGGGCCCTGCTTCTCCCCTTGACAGTGAAGGGCCCTCAAGGTCATAGGACCCTTCATGACCTGCTCCATGGTCCTCAAGCTCACTTCTGGGGCTGGGCCTCTTCCCTGGGCATCCTCTTCAGGGCTCCAGTCCCACAGAAGCTCACTCTTCTGTGTATGTGTACATGTGCGTGTATGTGTGTCTGTCTGTCTGTGTGGTGGTGGTGGTGGGTACTTGGACTGAAGAGTGCGAGTCTATAACCCACAAGCAGTGCAGGATAGAGCAGGGGCCACCTGGGGAGAAAAGGCCAGGCCCTGGGTTGGGGCCAGCTCTCCACCTGCCCTTTTGTCCCATGAGCCTCTGTTGGAAGATTCTACATCTGAGTCTGGCCTTCCAGACTACAGAGCTACATTTGTCACTCTGGGAGGTGCAGCCTACCCCTCAGTGCTCCCGCCATTCAGTCAGTGTCACTGTAGTCACTGACCCCGTGCCGCTGAGGTCCCCTGGGGTGGGTCCTTGCTCCTGGCCTTCCTCTGTTGCCCGCAGTGTGCCCTTCCCTCTTTGCTGTGGATAAAAGAAGGCGGTTGTGTATGCCCCTCCCCCAGCACCAACCAGCCACTTAATAACTGTGAGGCAGATAAATGACTAAAAGAAAACCTGAATGTCCCATGTCACAAGCTTAGAAAATGTAATGAACTTTGCGTTCCCAGTGATTACAAGCAAACCCTACATCTGTTGGTAGCCAGCATACACTTTTATAAACTGGCATCACCTCCTTTTCTGATTTGATTCACCTGCACAGCCCTCCCAGGCCACCTATCTTAGGCTGGCTTCTCCTCTGCTTGTGTCCCAACCCTTAACCCACCTCCAGGATCCTTTCCTCTCCTCCTTTGAGGTTGTTCTCCACTCTGGGCCTGTGAAGCAATGATTCTTATTTGCACTATCTTCCTTCCAGCTTTCCAGGGGTCTTAGTCAGCTAAGATTCTGTGACCTCGCCTGCCTGTCCAGTTGTGTTGTCCCAGCTTATGGACTGAGATCCTCAGGTCACCTATATACTCCCTCATATGGACTCCAGAACCGGTCTTTGAGGTGCTCTTCCATTGGGTCCCTTTGCTCAGCCTGTCTCAGGGGGTTTCATTGACCAGTTGCCCTTAAACCCCTCACCCCTGATGCCTGGATGAATGTAAGAGTCCTGCGCAGCCCCTGACACTAAATGTGGAGTGACCAGGGTGGGGGTGGTCACATGTAATTTCAGCCGACTGACAGTCACTTGGAAGAGTCCAACTGTAGTGACCCACAGAAGCCTGAGAAGGTTGTTATGGTAGCAGGTGGGCCATCAGTGAGACGCATCCCTGGGACAGATGCTGGTGACAGCAAGCATTATTGTCAGAGGCAGGAACAGAATAGGGCAGTGGCTGTGGACCCTGTGCCAACTTCAGCAGCAGCACAGGGCACTGGGGCATCCTCAGGGGCCACCCAGGGACCCCCCCCCCCAATGTCAACTCCAGTATGCCAGCACCAGGCAGGATGGCCTGTCCTGGGTTGCCTACTGCATCACACGTTTTATCTTACTCAATGCTCTTACTAACATGATACCATGGAAATTCCTGTGCCCATTTTAGAGTTGAAGACAAGAGGTCTGCACGACATCATTTGCCTGAAGTCATCCTGCTGTCAGAGATGTGCCTTTGGGTGGAGAGGGTTCTGACTGGGGGCTGAAAGCTGAAGCTGGAGGAGGCCTGGAGGCCGGGGTGGAGAGGGGGGCTCAGGGCAGACTGCCAGCTTGCACAGGTGCCAAGTGCTGTGAAGAACTGTTCTAACGGTGATAATGGTGGGTTTGATATAAAGCAGTTTTAGCTGCAGAGAAATGTTTATTGGTGAATCAGAGCATTGAACAGACTATTACAATGGGTATGAAAATGAATGAGGCTTGGAAATGTCTGCTCCAGGCCAGGAATGTTTCAGGGATGATTTCTAGGGCAGCACTTGGTGCTAAAGTTTCCTGAAGACCCCACTGACTGAGCTCCTAGAAACGACTCTGCCTTCCTTTGGCCTGCCTGTTGCTGCCCTGTGCTGGATTCCACAGCTGGATAGTGTTGGGCACCAGGCTCCGACCTTGGATTTGCACTGCTCTTGAGCCACTGAACACTTACTGAACTAGCAATTTAGAAGTTTGGGGCCACAGGAGGCCCAGGGTCTAGCAGAATCGGCCTGCCGTGTGTGTTTTGAGAAAGTTGGTTTTAATTTTAGTGCTTACTGCCTAGGCACGGAGTAGGGATCACACACTGGAAGGGACCATATTAACCTGGCAGCCGAACTTTCCTGACAACTCTGTTGCCTCCCAGCAGACACAACCCAGGAAGCCAGGTGACCTGGGGCTTGTCACACTGGGTAATTAATGTGTGATGGCACTCAGCTCAGAGTGATTTAGTGACTAGTGAGAAATCAGATATAATGCTGAGACTTACATTAAGTGCACAAATTGGGGAGATTGGGTGGAATTATTAGTCTTTGTAGGGCATATTAGGTTCAAAGGAATTAGATGGCTGGTTCATTTGTCTAATTTATTTGACTAACAACTCTGTGACCAGGTAGCCTGGCTCAGGTATTCTTGGGTGCCCTTCCTGATCCTAAGTACTCTCAGAGTAAAATTTCAACTTATATTCTCTGAAGACAAAAACAAAACCCTCTACTGCAGAGAAGTTCTAGGAGGTTTTGCCAATACAATACAGGGGAAGAGTAGAGTTTTGGGATGAGGTTCAGAGAGTGTTTCTGCTCTCAGGGAGAAGCCTGAGGCCAGAGTGCTGGCAAGGCTGTCCTGGTGGCATAGTCACTTGGGGGAACATGTGTCTAAGGGTCTTCACTTGTTCATTTCTTATTTGGCAGGTCAGGGTTCATGAATGGTAGGATCAAGTCTGATGGCTTTTAACTTTTAAACCATTTGTCATAGGCTTAGGGGTTAGAACACACCCACCCCCCACACACCCCCACTGGGGACTTAGAAACTAATTTTCCATCATCGTGATATGAGTTTCATTGTCTTTAGCATCGGAGTGAATGCGGCAGCATGACTGAAGATGCAAATGTTGGCCTCACTAGGACCCAGATGTACGCCACATGCACCTGCTTGAACACTTGGATCCTCTCTTTCCTCCCCTTCTCCCCGCTCCCCCTTTCTTCCCTCCCTTTACTCTCCCAGCCTATGTCTGTGGCTAAGTCTTGACCCTGAAGGAACAATCTGAGGATGAATGTAGGCATTTCTTAAGGTCTCACCTGAGTCCAAGCTTTTGAACTCAGCCCTCACTCCCTGCTCCTCCGGTAATGTTTGGAACTCTAAGAAGTTTAGCTGAGGGCCTGAGATTCAGCTCAGCAGCATAAATGCCTGCCTGGCAAGCATGAGGTTGTGAGTTCAATCCCCAGTACCAAAAAAATAAAATAAAATAAAATAATAAAAATATAGGTAGTTTAGCTAATCTACCTTGATTCTACTTCCAAATGAAATTTCCACAGCACCCAGGGGACATCCTGGGAAGTAGAGATTATTTCCAAAGACAGGAAAAACTGGGATGCAAGCTGGTTTGTTGGACAGAGCCACATGTTGGCAGGCGAAAGAGCAACTCTACCAAGTCTAGAGACAGATCAGACACAGTGTGGTCCACCTACCTACGTTCCCCGACACTGACAGTGCTGCATCAAATAGTCTCCCACGCAAGCAGGAGTCAGGACACCTGATAATGTGCTGTCTCCATAGATATTTTACTATAACCATATGTAATAAAAATCTGTGAAAAGGGAAGCAGATATGTATGGCCACAAGCAAGCTGACAGCAAAGATTTTCCTCAGTAATTCTTATGTTTTGACAAGAGGGCTTATTTCGCCTTTCCTGTGTTTTTACTCTACTAGAATTCCTAACTTTGTTGCCTCCTCTACTCTAGGAAGCTCTCCAAGAAGCTGCAGCCACCATAGACTGAAGGCAAACAGGAGGCTACAGGCAGTGGCTGCAGCACTGGGTTGCCCTTGGTAACCCTCAGATGGTGTGCCTTTGAGGATGTCCACTGTGTGGGCCTCATGCAGAGGGTAACATGAAGGGACTCAACTGCCACCACAGAGGTAAGTGGAGAAGACAATCAGTAGTAATAAAATAAACATTCCCATTACCTGGCTTGGTAGAGCAGAGGGGCAACTGCCAAAGCTGGGTGTGATCCTGTAAGGAGGGTTAAAGTCAAGCTTTCCATGATGGGGTTTTGCCAACAAGTTACTCAGTGCGTGCACACTGCAGAGCTAGAAACCAAAGGCCCAGAGCCGCTCGTTTCAGACTCCTTGGATGTCACCTATCAGGCTGCAAACCAGGAAAACCACCCCAGGCTTGGGATGCCAGGGGCAATGTGAAGACTGATTTTGGTAGCATTTTCAGACAATGTGCCAAGTTTTCTCAGTTTGCCTGATTTAGCTTCTTAGGAGTCCTTTAAGGGTGAGTTTTACTCTTATGTCTTTTAATTATATTTATGTACTTGCTCAATCCTTTTTTACTATTGTTCATTTTTAAATAATAATCATGCCTCATCAAATGGTAATGAGGCAAAGGACCTGATCCAGCTGATGTAAGAAATATAAATTAAGGTCCTAAATCACTTTGCTAATACTGAAACTGTGTGTGCTTCCTAGTAACTGTAATTCTAATTTTCTCCAAATCGGAATGTGTTATTTTCCATTAAACAAAATTTGCTAACACCTTCACTCACTGTGACAGATTCGTGTCTTGGTTGGTAAGAGGTTTGCTGGCCTCCTCCTCTGTGCTCACAAAACCACAGCCTGCGACAATCCCGCTAACACCAACAGAATCCTAAATACTTGCTGTGTCATTGGTGACTTCTGACAGAAAAGAAAATAATGACAAAATGCTATGAAATATTGTATTTCACTAAGTTTCATTGGAAATTTGAGGAAATTCTTTTTATATTTTACCTGTATTTACCGTTTTAAAGAAGGTACATGAAGTGAGGTAAAAATCAACATTCTCTGCATACCAAATCTAGATTAATTTTGCCTCAATTGAAATAGCTAAATTCAATAGATTTTAGTTACTTTTGTCCCTCTCCCCCAATTTCTTCCATTTCCCCTGTAAATTTTGTGAGGATTAATTCACAAGCTTAGTAGTCTCATACTCTGTGACACCAAACACAACATGACAGGCAGGATGATTAGGTCCCACTTTTTGACTGAGCAGCCTCGGCTTCTCCTCTTTGTCAGCAAGTTGGGACGAGGACATGATAGGGGATTACCCATGCCGGCTCCGACTGGCCTGGCTCCGCTCCCCGCTCAGTCTCTGCACTACTGGAATCTGTCTTTCTTCTAGTTATAGGTTGCAGTCACAGGCAGGTAGTTCCTACCCCTAATCTTCCTTCCCAGATTGTTCAGAAATCATTTTTTTTTCATACTGCAAAAAACAAAACAAAACAAAACAAAACCACCAGCAGCTGGTGGGTATGTATTACAGGGCTGCAATAACAGACTCTGTCTTACTCTGAGATTGTAAAAGCCACTCTTCTGGCCACCATGTTTTCTTCGTGTGGCTTTAACAGCTCTTTTGGACACTGAGATTCTAAGTGTAAAGCTTCATACTTACCTAATCAAAGCCACATCCTTACCAAAAGCTTCTTTAATGTTGGCTTAGAAAAGGAAATGGAAATGGTGGTGTTATCCCTCCTTCCCTCCTTTAAAGCATTTCTAGTGCTCAGCCTCCATGAAATGGATTGCTTATGGGGAGATAATGTCTGTTCTATTCCTTTTTAAGTCTGTGAAAAATGTCATCCTGGTTAATAGGGTGATTAAAACTCTTTATGCTCCAGGAGATAAATGTGATTATGTTTGTCATACTCTACCCAAGATAAAGACAGCAAAGAAGGCAAACTTGAAATTCCGTAACACTTCCTCTCTTCCATATCCAGGAACATTCAGAACTCAATACACAGATGGTACTTCACATAAAGAATAACATTATCTGTTAAACATTTTTCCTTTCCATTAACCAATTTAACAATGTGCCTCTGGTATAAAAGGAATAGACAAATGACTAAATCTTCAGATATGTGAGTCCTGACAGTGGAAAAACACCATGTAGTCATACTGCTTCTTTTCTCTTTGAATTTAAATCTTTGTTACTTTATTTTTGCTTTTAAAATGCAATTGGAGCCTATGCTTTGTACCTGTTCCAGGAAATCTGTCTCCATCAACCTTCCTTCCATAGGTGACTCATGATCATTATTCCTATGGGAGTTGGACCCCTGCCATCTATCAAGGATGACAGAAGTCAAGAGTAAGAGGAGGGTTTTGTCAGCATTGGGCACACCACAGAAGCAAGCATACACTCAGTCCTCCAGTGCCAGGCTCTGGGGGCACAGCCTGCCAACCATGGCACTGGCTCTTTACTGGGGCCTGGCCGCCACCTACCTCTGTGGCTGTAGGATCACATGGCCTGAGAGGAAAGTCCCTACCCTCAAGGAGCTTATCAGACAAGACTTCATTAAATAGAACCGCTAATAATGATTTCACCTTCTATCACTCTAGCAAGCTAAGGATTTATTTTTTCCAACCCAGGAGAGGCCTTTTAAATATCAATAGGTCTGCTCCATCCAAGGAAAATGAAAATCCAGATCTTAGCAGAAATAGTTGTAGGTCATGCCCATTCTCTTAGCAAGAGCCTGGACTTGAACACAACTCACTTTGGCTCCTGCCTTTCCTTCATTGCATTCACAGGCCAGAAATATTTTCTCCACAGAGATCTAGTCAAAAATGAAAGCTAGGTGAAGGGTTTTTTGCTACCCACATGTGCTGATAAAGTTCACAATCCTTTCCTTTTTGTTTTAGATTTTTAACAGGTTACATGTGAATCCCAGACACTGATTACACATGTTTAATTAACAATATGGCAATTTTAACAGGGTAATGTGGTCTAGTGAAAAATGTTACATTATGCACTTGACATTTCATTTGAAATTTTTCCTTAGAACTAAAAGGTTTCATTGTAACAGAAATTTCAAATGTACTTTATTAAGGTTGATTGCTGACTAATTAGAGCCTAACCAATTCTAAAGAAACTGCGCAACTGATTTTCCACCAGAAGTTATTTCTCTGAACATATTGACATAATAAAAGTATTTTTCTTCTTTGAAAATTTTATAGTAAGAAAAGCTGCATGTGGACATAAATAGGTCATGGAGTACAGGTTTAGTTATATAAGAATTAAACAGGAGGTGACAATATTAATTCAGTACTCAGGTTACTTTCTATTTAAAATATTTAAGATAGGTGACACTGAGCTGCTTTTACTGTATCAACTGAAATAAAAACTACAAATAATCAGTGTTCAGGGATCCAGAACCAATTCTCAAAAAAGTGTCTTTTACACCCTTGATTATCATCATTATTATTTCAGCCCATTGTACCTCTTCAAGTTATCATAATCTGTTACTGACTTTCTGGCCTGAGTGTAAGAATTTATAGGGCCATCAAGTGAAGTCACCAGGTAAATAACAAGCACATATGTACCTGCTGTGAATCAGACTGCACTCAGGACCACGATCCCTACCATTTCCCACTGCACTGGTTTCACCACTGACCTTGGCACTTTGGAGTCTGGCAAACAGGAATAAGTCTTCCAAATTCTCAGTTGTATATTGATAAAAAAGGCTCTTAAAACTTACTTAATTAGATACATTGAGGTTTTACTGCTGTTAAGGATCTACTTGTAAAGATTTTCTATTAGACTTTTACTATACACTTTTTTTTCAGTTATGAAACATGGTTTATTCTTTTCTTCTTCTTATAAACAGAAGTACTTCCCTCTGAGGTCTCTCCACCTGTGGAAGTTATCCCAATAACTATTTTTAAATACTTAACTTTAGGAAATCTGCCCCTCCCCAATTGAGGCACAGATGCAGAGGAAGTCCGCCTGCTCAGGGGGAGGCTGAATGCCATCAACAATCTGCACGGGTCCTAGGGAGAAAGCACGCCCAGTCCCTTTTCAGTGGTGCTGCCTCCGAAGCCACCCTTTCTGCAGTGATCGCGTTGGAACTCATCTGTGCTCATCTCATTTAGTTTTCAGTGCTTCCTCCCACTCAACAGCTGATTTGGAGTTCTTGGGAATTGTTGGAAATATTGATTGCATTTTACTTCGAAAGTCTTTCATCTAGAAGAAGAAAAACAAATCAGTCATCAAATGTCAAAAAAGGGAGAAATAGGCAAAGCTGTCAGAAGCAATACCTTTGCTGACTGGAGAACAGTTCACTGCTCATAGGTACAGAGCAAAAGGAATACTAATAAAAACCAAGGTCTGTATACTAGCTACGTGACAGAAGAAAAAATATACCTCTTTTCTTCTTCCAAGTATAAATCCATTAACTAAATAACATCAAACTTCTCTCCTAGTCTGGAAAGCAACATGCCCTGAATCATCAGTCCTCCAGGATATGGTTTTTGCTATCAGAAGGATGATGTGTATCACTGGTTTTCATATATAAAGATGTGGCAAGGATGGAATTCTGACCATCTGAATAAATGAATATACTCAGATTAATTCAAAGTTAAAATTTTAGAGCCAGAGGGAAAGAGTAAAGAGAAGACACTTTGTAGGGGTTTAATAAAGAATGAATCACTGGATGGCAGATAACTTGGCATGTTTCATGTGCCACGCAGTGTGGAAACCTACATAGAAATCTTACCAACAGAGGTTCATCTGGAATTGGTGAGTCAGAGCAGGGGGCTGGGTGATGTGACTATGCAGTGTCAACACTGTCACAGTTCACCTGGGCACCCAGTCCATCTAAGGTGTTACTGCGAGGGCAAGGGAACACTGACTTAGGGGAGCAGAATAATCTTTATCTTAGACAACCATACTTACATCCTTTAATCCAGCGATGGTGAACCTTTTACAGTGTTCAGTGATACAGACAGCCTGCAGTGGCACGCATGCCATACGTTCACCAACGTTGCTCTGATCTACCCTTTTTCATCTGTATGGTCCTGTTATTAAGATTCTATTTCAGCAGCACTACAGTGTTATAACTTTTCCTCAGCAACCACAGCCAAATGAACACAGATCTACTTGACTAGGTTTGCAAAGTACCCTGGACTCTCAGCAATGTCCAAGACATTTCTTAGAGTGTTCATCTGAGAGTTGGCTAACGTTTTATGTTAATATTTATTTTAAGGTGAGGCTAAATCTTTATCTTGTTTTAAAATTGAGGGGTTGAATTTTGTTCAAGACTTGTAAATCCTAGCATTTACCCAATCGCTACACTGCTGCTGTTGACAGCACAGTTTCTGGTATCAGACAGACCCTTGGTTCAAATCCTAGCTCTACCACTTGGGAAAATTGCTCACTCTGTAGTTGTAGCTTCCACATATGCTGAATAAAGACAGTAACTACCCGCCTACTACTCTTAGTGAGGACTGAGTGAGCAATACACACTACTTCCTAAGTGCTCAATATATACGACCTATGATCACTAAAATATCAAAATGTTATTTTCCAAGAATAAAGCTTACATGGATACAAATATTGTAATGTGTGTATTAAAGCATTATTTTGTAGTTACATTATCATTTATCATCTGATACTGATGGTATCAGCATATATTATTCTGATACTGGAATTTATAAGGTTACCCATTGTGTATGGCCTGTAGGAGGCCATGCTACCTGTCTCCACATTCTGAACCCAGATACCATCTTGCTGGCACACACATTATGGGTGTGCCTCTCCCCACTCCTTCCCATTCTCTAGTTTGTACTATGATGACTCCTTTAGGGAAGTTCTTCACTAAAAGCAGCACTGTATGCCTGAGGAGGAGGAACTGGAAACATGGAGGAGTGGGTGTCTTTCATTGTCCCCAACCACAGCAGACGGCCATTTGTATATGGCAGGAGTTGGTAGACACAGGTCTTATTGTTCAGAATGGTCCACAAACGAACTGCTTGGTCTAAAACACCAATTACATGCCCAGTGAGAAACTGTGCGTAGAAACTCAGAGTTGAAAAACAGATATCTCTCCAACCAGGGTCTGGCTGAACATTTTTTAAAGTTTAGCCTAATGACATAGTTTTCAGATGGGTGTCAGATCACCAATGTGTGAGCAGCACCGTTTACCACTCTCCCTTCCCAGAGCTGCTAGGAAGGGAAGGAGTGGGAAACGCAGTCAAGGCCAGGGCAGGAGAGTGAAGGCTGCCACTCAGCTTTAGCATATTGTGTTCCCCTTTCCTGTTCTTGGCCTGATTTCCTTCAGTTCTCACATCTCCAGAGAACTGCACAATCCACCTGCTCCTTGGAGCATACGTGAACACCTGAGCCAGCGGAAGAAATCACATCTGAACAACACCCAACCAGGATTATAAGGGTTTCAGATTGAGGTGGAGGGCTGAGGAAATTGGGATGGAGTAACCTTGAGCCCTGTTCTGTGATGGTCAAGCTTTGGACATCACATTTAAGTTATAAATGGGGTTTCAATTTGCTTTAAATAATGAGATTCCACAAGAGATTTTTAAGCTTTTACTATTTAGGGTTTTGCATAGTAAATGCAAACCTTCATTTTTTTTTCTACCTGTGCCAATTTCTAGTACTGTATGTATTTCAGAAAATGTTATTAGTCTTAACATGAAAGTCTACATACAAGTCAACAGAACAGTCTCCTGCTTAGACGTCCTTAAAAAAAAACATTTACGGGTTAAGTACAATTAAGCCAATTTGGTTATAAAATAAATGTACTGAATTCCATCATATTAATCACAGCTCTAGAACTGTCCCTTTGCTCTATGTCCCAAAGAAGCTGGGTGAAGAAGGGGCATGCTGGGGATGAGCATGTCCATCAGCAGCTCAGTATTACTCTGAAGCACTTTCCAAACCATGTACACTCTCCTCTAGAACCTTCTCTTCTCCCTTTTCTCCATTGAAGAGAATTTTTCCATGGTATAGATCCCACAGTCAGCCTTTCAAGGAGGGCCCCTGTGCACTGTCACAGACTGTGCCCAGGACAATTCCAAGAGTGTTCTGCACAGAGACTAAGACATGAATGGTACCTCTCTACAGTAATGTGCTTACTCTTTTAGAAACTTCATCCTAAATCCTAATGTTTTGCTGTCCAACAGTGCTGGACATGGTGTAATATTACTAGAAAGTACCCAAGACCGCAGGGTTCAAATGGGGTACTCTGATTAACTAACTGGGAAGGGTAAATTGTTATAAATATGGACGTTCAGAGAAATGGATATGGTTGTTTTTTAGATATCAGAACGGATTCAAGATTATGCCTTTAATGATGTTATTCACATTCACATTTCAGTAGCTTCCCAAAGCCCATATGCCAGGTAGATACTGTTCAAAGGGTCTTTACTGGGTGTCTGGTGTATTTTTTCACTTGACCCTCAACAAAATGGGGGCAAATGTTAACCTCCTTTTAAAGATATGGAGATGGAAGCTTGCAGAAACTGTACAAAGTGCTCAGTGTCATAGCTGATGAAACCAGCCTTAACGGTGGAGCAGGTGGGCTTACCGGGTGCATCACTTGCATGTGCACATGGGTACCACTGCTCACCTGCTGTGCATGTTGTGGTAGGTAAAAACGACCTGAAAACTTTTGGTTTAGTATATAGTGTCCTGAGAAATTACTTAACACTTTAGGTTATATCCTCGACTTAAGTAATTTTGGAAAGTCTTTTCAGCATCAACTACAATAGGCAGTTATTGGAATTAAATGCTCTGAGTTTCAAAATGTTTTTGACATTGACTAGCTCATTCATTTAGCTTCTACATCCTCACTTGTAGTGGGATTTTCTGCCAACCTCAGAGAGGGCCAGAATTAGGAGGACAGAACTATATAGAATCTACATTATAGGATCAAAACTTTATAGGATGGAAAGCCTTTGATTACAGAGTCAATGGTATTTTCAAGAATTTGTAATTCAATTCATAAAATAGAACAGAGTAAGACATATAATTCCAGGAGAAAAAAGTATAGTAAGGTTGTAAAATTAAACTGAAGGGGTGGAGCAAAGATGGTGGATAGGTAACAGCTGGCTAGAAGCTCCCTGAGATAGTCAATTTGGAATTCAACATAATACAGCATGGGGAGCCCCGAACAGAGGGAGATGAATTCTCTCATTCCAAGAAGAAATTTAAGGTGAGAAGAACCAATCAAACATAGTCCCAGTGCTATTATTGGAACAGCAAAAGGTTCAGGGCTCCCACCACAGCAGGCAACTTATGAGATCCTGCCACTTTGACTCATTGGAGGTGCAGTCATACTGAGGTCGGGGGTCGGCCAGCCGAATGGAGAACTGAGCTGGTGGGGAGCCTGCATTGACCTGTGGTAAGTAACGGGAATGGAGCCATTCCACGGAAAAGGGGGCTCCAGTGGATGACATTCTGGGACTGGGCAGGACTGGCAAGCACAAAGGGCAGCAGTGACTTCAGCCAGTTGTTCCCTTCCCAAATAGGATTGGTGGAGTAAGCTAGGCCTGGGTCGCATGACCTGGCTGCGACCCAATAGGTTATCTGAAATCAATTCCCTACAGCGGTGGCGCACACTAATGCAGTGAAGCCTCAGAAATTTGACTGACCCAGAGGGGAGGCGGCGCACAGTGTTACAGTGCAGGCCTCAGCAGCTTGACGGATTTGGAGGGGAGGGGCCAGCATATGCTGCCCCTGTTTGCAACTCACTAGCACACTGCAGTGGGAAGGGTCACCTAGCCAGCGTGCTTCAGAAGAATTGTAACCAACAAAGAAAGAAACTTGGGCCTCCTGGAAGAAACAAAAAAGATGGAAAGAGGAAGCAACTAGCAAAAGTCCTCAGATCCCAAACCTGAGAACACTGACCCAGGACAGGTAAATACAAAGGAGAATGAGAATAGCAAACATGGGAGAGCCAGGAGAACATGGCGGACAGATAGCAGCAGCTATGGAGGCTCTCTGAAAGACCCAGGTTAGAATTCAGGAATGGTGCTGAGTAAGGAATCATAAGCAAGAGGAGATATGCCCCGGTGACCCAAGAACGAACTGGGCTGAGAGAAACCAACTGGGAATGCAATCCTGGTGCTATAACAGGAACAGATAAAGCCTCAGCGTGGAAGCTGGAGCCCGCGCCATTGGAAGCCGCGATTTGGGTTTCCCGCCGCCGTGGCTGCATCTGCATTGGCTCGGTACGGAGAGAGACACGTGGAAGCTCTGAGAATGGGAATCGGTGAATGGAGTTGAGAGCAGGACGGGCGGGGAGCCATGCATCCACCTCTGGTGAGTGAGGGAAAACTGGGACTCTTCCACGGTCTAGGAGACTCCAACAGAGGACATTCAGGGACCGGGCAGACTTGCGGGAACAGGGCACTGCAGTGACTTCAGTCACATATTCCCCTCTCAAGCGGGATTGGTGAGCAGTGCCTAACCCAAGTGACACTGCTGGCTGAGACCCAGTAGGCTAGCACAGCCCAGATCCCAGCGCCTGAAGGTGACCTGGAGGGGCAGGCCCCGCATAGGCTGCCTGGTCTGCAACTTCCTGGTGTGCTGCAGTAGGCGGGAACACCTAGCTGGCGCAATTCAATCAGACTGTGACTGACAGGGAAGGAAGCTGGGCCTCCTATATATGCTTGCATATATAAGGAACAAAGAATATGGGAAGAGGGAGCAACAAGAAAGGGTCCTCAGCCCCCAATCCTGAGAAAGAGGCAACAGCAGACACAGCACCAATAGACATAAAGCGCTATCTCCAGAGCCTCATAGACAAGTTCAGGAATGAAGTTATTAATGACCTGAAGCTAGACATAAGCAGAATAGTTAGAGAAATGCTAAGCACCACCCAAGAAAAAAACAGATGGTGGAATGGAAGAACAGAAAAAGAGGGGAGAATTGTTTGATGGAGAAAATAGAGAAAGCATAGAATACGTGAAGCAGGTTCAAAGAGATTACCAGGAAACTAAAAAGTCTATCGAAAACTGGCATAACAGCTTGAAAGAAACTAAGGACAGATTATCTGAACTGGAGGGCAGATTTGTAATGTGGGAGCATGAAATGAAAAACTTCTTAAAAATAACAAAGAAACAAACAGCAATAATACAAAGACTAGAAGATGATAAGAGGGTCTATAACTTAAGAATTAAGAACATAAAAGAAGAAGTAGGGACACAAACAAGTGAACTACAAAAGCTACTCACAGAAATAATCGAGGAGAATTTCCCTAATTTAGCAAAAGGTAAATATACTCAGTTGTATGAAGCATACAGGACCCCAGCCACCTACAACCCAAACAGAGCAACACCCAGGCATATAATAATTAAAATTCCAGAAATCCAATACAAGAACAGAATACTAAAAGCCGTCAGAGACAAGAAACAGATCACTTACAAGGAAACACCCATCAGAATTACAGCAGACTTCTCGGCACAAACCATCAAATCACGAAGAGCGTGGGGGGAAATAATTCAAGCTTTGAAAGATAATAATCTCCAGCCAAGATTGACATATCCTGCACAACTATCCCTGGAAATTGATGGAAAAACGAGGTGCTTCCAGGATAAAGAGGAACTAGGGGAATATGCAACCACCAATTCAACTCTACAGAGGATACTGCAAGATATTCTAAAAAAGAAAAATACGAAGAATCCAGAAGTAGCGGCAGAGAGGCCACAATGAATGGAGCAGAAAACAAAATGAAGAAGACAAACTGACAACTAATGACAGAAAAAGAGCTCAACAGAAATGAGGCAGAGAAGATTGGATGATAGGAACAGCTATTTTGGAGAAAATGACGTCTTAAGAGGTAATACTGATTTAGTATCATCTTGTTTTGAAGTCTCAGCAAGCTTTTGTTCTTCTGTCTCCATTGGTCTAAACAGGTGGTATCTTATTGGATTTTATTATATATGATAGTATAAGCAAAACCTTTTATAGAAAAGGAGATTATACCAAAACCATTGTTCATTTTCTGTTAGTTGATTCTAAATACCCTGTAATACTGTCATTCTCTTAAATGGTTTTACATTGTTTTGATATATTTGATGCTACAGTATACGAAGTTATACTCAAAGATTTCAAGGAAAGAGACAATATGGCAACTACTTTTATGTCGGGATAATCTTGTGGTGAAACACTATTTTGCTTAAATGGTTATGTTTTGATCTGCGCTGATTTGCTGTTATGCCCTCTTTTATCTCAATCTCCATTTTATTATTTACTCTTTTTATCCTTTTAATTAAGGGAAAAATAAATTTAAAAATAGCAGGATATATTATAGTAACCCACTTTGACTTTTCATTATCTTGATTTAAAGCCCTGTATTCCTCTCACCATCTTGTTTTGACTGAGTTTCCTCTATTCTGTTTTGCTTGATAGTACCAGGTTCGAAAGTTTAGGCAACAGCTGTGAAGATAGTGGGATTCATTATGACGCCCATTCTGGTTGACTATTATCTACTTTTGAAGACCTATAAGGTCTCCAATGTTTTGGTTTTGTTGGTTTTGTTCTTTACTGTTTTGTTCAATTTTATTATAACTAATGATATAGGCAATTCTATAGAGATAGCAGGAGGCATTATGGTAACCATTGTTGATCACCTAGTATTATGCTTTTACATTATCTATTATGTCCACCCTTTTGATTTGACTGACTGTTCTGTTATGTCACATTTGGTTCTACTCTCTTCCAAAAAAGTAATAAGAACTGTAGGAGCAACAAAATCCAAAATGTGTAATTGTCATTGTACAAGAGAGAGGAAAAGAAAGTGCTCTAAACAATATAACTGCATGTATATTTAAGTGTATAAGATAGATAATGATATTACTCAGTTTTGTTGAATCATTGAACAGAACTGTTTGCAGTCTCACTGTTGGAATGTCCACTTTATAAGCTTTAATTTTGTAACTTGAACAATTATTTCTAAGATGACAAAATGTAATCCATTAACCAGTGATTTCCTACTGTTTATTTTTTTCTGTAAATCTGTATAACTTGTACCCTTTCTCTGCCTTTTTTTCTTTTTCTCCTTAAATAAAAATTTAAAAAAAAAGAGAGAATAGCAAACATACATTATCAGACACGGTACCAGTGGACATAGAGAGATATCTTTGGGACCTCGTAGACGAGTTCAAAAGGGAAATATTTAGCCAAGTAAAGCAAGATATAAGAAGATTAATAAAAGAGATGCTAAGCACCCCTTAAGCAGACACAGACAGAAGAAGGGAGGAACTCAAAGGAGAGAACCATTTGATGAAGAATATAAAGAAAATAATAGAATACATGAAGCAGATTCAAAGAGATTACCAGGAAATTAAAAACTCTACAGAAAGATGGCAAATCTGCTTGAAAGAAACTAAGGATAGATTATCCAAACTGGAGGACAGTTTTGCAATGTGAGATTATGAAAGGAAAAACTTTTTAAAAATAACAAGAGAACAAGCAGTAACAATACAAAGGCTAGAAGATGACAAGAGGATCTATAACTTGAGAATAAAGAATGTAAATGAAGAAGCAGGGGTACAAAGGAACTACAGAGGCTATTCACAGAAATAATTAAGGAAACACAGGAAAAGGAAATGATATTTTGATGTATGAGGCATACAGAACTCCAGCCACCTACAATCAAAACACAGCTACACCCAGGCACATAATAATCAAGATCCCAGAAATTCAATATAAGAACAGAATATTAAAAGCTGTTAGAGACAAGAAACAGATAACCTATAAAGGAAGGCCCATCAGAATAATGGCATACTTCTCAACACAAACCATCTAGTCAAGAAGAACCTGGAGTGAAATATTCCAAGCCCTGAAAGAAAATAACCTCCATCCCAGATTGATATACCCTGCTAAACTGTCTCTAGAAATTAAATGGAGAAACAAGATGCTTCCAAGACAAAGAGGAACTTGGAAAATTTGCAACCACCAATCCAACTCTACAACGAATACTGCAGGGCATTCTAGAGAGAGAGAAAAGTACTAGGATTCCAGGAACAGTGGCAGAGAAGCCTCAATGAATGGAACAGAGAACAGAATGAAGAAGATAAGCAGACAACTGATGGCAAAAAAAAGAGCATAACAGAAATGAGGCAGAGAAGGTTGGTTATAATCTCTAATATAGATGGCCTGGATACACTAAATTAAAAAAAATAAAAAAGAACCACACATGGAGTAGATCAGGAGGCAGGGTCCACCGAGATGCTATTTATAGGAAATATAATTAACATGAAAAAGAGTATATGGACTGAAAATCAAAAGTGAAAAAACAATGCTCTATGTGACAGAGAACCAGAGAGTAATAGGGGCAATGAGACCAGTATTTGTGGATAGGTTGGAAAGACAGGCTTTAATAGGTAAAGGAATATAATTAGGGATCAAGTCCAGGAGAGAGAAGGTTGGGAACTACTTAGGTAAATAGCAGGTCCCTCCCACACACACACAATTTAAAACCAAGGGTCTTGGTTTTAAAAATGCACAGTGTACCCTGGGGAAGTGAAAGGGGAGGAAGAGTCTATGATATATATTCTGGTTTAATAACTGCCTGTTTTTGAAGTTTTATACTATATACAAAGTTATGTTTTTATTAATACTGTTATGTACTGATATATTCAATTATACTATGTCTGATGATACAGCCAATTCTATTGACGATAACAAGAGACAACACAGGAACTATGGTAGAACTCCTTGTACAATGGTTTTATATGTCTTTTTCGTTTCATGTGTTTATAGGAATATGTTTTGTTTTGTCTTGCTTTGTTTTGTTTCTCCTTCTAATATAGAAAGGATAGAAATACATGTTAAGACTCATGCATGTATAGAATCTATAAACAGTTATGAGAACTGATCTTATGACACATGATGAAATGAACAGATACTCTGAAGAAAAAGAGACACTAAAGTACCCAGTGCTGATCCTAGCGTGTCATAATGTGAAACCCAGCAATAGTATTATTCTTTGTTCAGAGTGATATTAGCCTGCTTGGGTTTGTTCAGTCTCAACATAATTGAAGATATGGATAACTCCATGTATGTTTAAGTGTACAGGATTGATAACCATATTTCTAAGTTTTTGTTGGATAGCTGAACAGAACTGGCTGCAGTCTCACTGTTTGAATCCCACTTTATATGCTCCACTTTAGTATGTTGAATAACTATTTGCAAGAGGACAATCTGTAATCATCAACTAGTGATTTCTTACTGTTTATTTTTTTCTTTTAAAATATGTATTATTTCTGCCCATTTTCTGTTTTGTTTAGTCTTTCTTTAAATAAAATTAAAAAAAAAAATAAACTAAACAGGAATAATAATGTGAGCTATTTGAGATCTCATGTATCAGGCACTGAAAAACACTGTGTTGTTACTTCACAAGACCATATGGCAGAAATTATGACCGCCATTTTTGTCTAAGAAAGCACAGGTCAGAGGGGCTAACTATTTCACAGTGACACAGCTCATGGACACAATTGCCTATGTGCAAGAATTTCCCCACCACCACCCAGCCCTGTAGTTTTGTAATCAGGAAAGACAAAATGTCTCTAAAACTTTTCTGTACCAGGATTCACTGAAAATAACTGAAAACACATGTAATACGCACTGCTTATAATGGTGGTCATTTTGAATTGTATAAGATATATAACTGATTGCTTCCCAATATCAAGTATTCATGAACTTCCAAAGATCACAGAAGTATACTATCCTATCTCCTTAAAGTTACATAACCTTGTAACTAGTGAATATAGGCAAAAGAAACGTGTCACTTCCAGGCTAAGCACTTAACTACAGGAGTTTGACTCTCTAGGCTTCTGTTTCCTTGCCCCCTTAATCTGGGAAACTCGTCTTGTCACAGTGGTGCTTCACAATCAAAGTAACCTGAGATGCTGGCCAACATATGGAGAGCACCTTTCCAAGGTCCAGTGTGTATGTGTTTAAGGTACAGATTTGGAGCATTTCTTCCCCCAGTACTGGTGAATGAATCCAAGGCCTTCGTATTAACCTACATCCCCAGCCGTTTTTATTTTTTGAGACAGTGTCTTGCTGAGTTGCCCAGGTGGGCTTGAACTCATGATCCTCCTGCTTCAGCCTCCCAAAGTATTGGCATTTCAGGTGTGGGCCGGCCATGCTCAGCTGGAGATTGTTTTTTACTGCACCCTAATTCCATCTATCCTCGCTAACAAGATGGTGAGAATTATAAAATAGACCTAAATATGTTCTCATGCCCCTTGTAGCACCATTTGGTTAAAACAAAGTTTAAAAATCTTAAGAGCCTGGATAAGAAGGAATAGGAATTCTGCAACTGAACTCTAAAAACTTCACAACTACTTAAAACAACTTAATGATCACCTTTTCCACTTTCAGGGAACTTGGTAAATCAGTTAGTCCCTTTATAGGACAATGTTCCTTGGAGAATCAGAACATTTTTAGATTCAGAAAAATATTGTAGTGTAAGAGCTCTAATAAGCACATAAAGGGACATTTTTAATGGAAGGATTATTGCCCTATGTCTATTTGATAACATTCAACTAAGAAGCACTGGCTTGGTTTAGAGAGCAGATAATGACAGCCTGTTGATATATGCAAGAACCCCAAGATGTGTTTGAATACGCTATATTAATTTAAATATTCAATGACTTTAGGAAAGCTAACATGCATTTTAAAATCTGTTTTCCATTTTCTAAGCTCTTAGTACTGGTAGTATTTAAGTAAAAGATAAACACCATTACCTTCTTTTAAACTCTTACTGGATCACACCTACAAATTCCAGAATTGTATTGTGAAGTCAACTGATTTAGGAATTGTGGCGAATCACTCAAACTGCTTCAGCTCAGGGGCAACTAAGGACACCTAAGGATGTAACTCCACTTCTCTAGCACAGGCATATACTGGGATAGTTACGTAACCATGACTGCCAGGCAAACATGCATGTGCTGGTTACAGCACTATGTAAGAATGTGAACATGAGACAACAACCTGTACAAGAACTGTACAATAAAGACGCAGGTGGCTCTTGATCTTGTTCTTATTCTGGTTTTCTGTTCTGCTCCATGCTGCCTGCTCCTGTTGCTGATGTCTTGCACACATGCATTTTTAACCTTGGGATTTCACCTGTGAAAATCTCTCTTGGGCCCCTGAGTGGGCTCACAACTGGTGTAGACAATGGGACACTGTAGTGAATGATGCTGTGTTGGCTGTGGAAATAGTGTCCAATGATGAGGGAGAGCACTGGGGAATGGCTGATAAGCAACCCTGGTCTCTCCATGACTACATGTGGTCACCTGCTTGGCAGCCTGGAAAGCCCTGGAGAACTAGGAAACAATTAGTTTGGAGCCTTGCAAGACTTAGAAGTGACACACAAATTCCTCCCCCTCAATAGTGCGATGGATGAGTTGGTTGGCTGTTTTTTCACTTTCTTCTCCTGCATAAATCAAAAAGTGGATGGCCTTGTCTGGCAAGTAGACTAGGTGCAGCAGATAAAAGACAACCTTGAGCAACAGCTGGCTCTGCAGAGTTCATGCTGCAAGGCACGGGAAGCATTGCCTCCTCCAAAAATGCCTCTAGACACATGTTCTCATGTCCGAGAAAACCCCCAGAAAATGTCCTGGTTTTGCACACAATGCTGGCCATTTATCAAAAAGTGGAGCTATAGGAACCCCTAGCCCAGGGAGGACTGGGAGGGCTGCCTAGCTCTACCCACTCACAGTGTACATGACTATATAGCCATGGAGCTGTGGGAGCTGGCAAAATGATTGAAGCAGAAGGTGGGTGAAACAGTGCTTACATAGGCGCTACACTATGGCTGTGGGACGATGGGGCTGATAACATGCAGTTAAACCCACAGGAGATGTCCCAAACAGCCAGCATAGCCAGAAGCCCCTCTTGAGATGGGTTCTGCAGGATGTTCAGAGGACGGCCCCAGAAGCAGGTGATCAGACTATGATAAATGTTTGGGAGAATCCAGGTGACCTGCTACATATAATGGGCACGCAGCAGATGATGTCTGCACTGCAGTGCCATAGCCTAGATGAGGAACTGCTGATGGCACACATCAAGGATATTATCTTGGCAAGTGGGACAGTGGCAGCCCTTCTAGCCCCCTTTACAGATCACCTGATCTTTGATGCTGATGATGCCTTGGTCAGGCTGGGAGACGTAGAAGTGAAGCACCACACTAAGGTGAGATCGATAAAAACTGAACTGGCAAAGGACAACAAGGGGGACTCCAGGCAAGTAGGGCAGTCCCCCCAGGTACAGGCTATTGGGCCATTGAAGATCAGTTGGCGCCAGATTTGGACGGACCTGCTGGCTGCTAGCCCAGCTACAGATAAGTTAGATGGGCAGCCTTTGGATGTGTTGCTGACTCCATGGAGGCAGTTAGGCCCTGAGCAGCAATAACAGCCAATGAGCCAGAAGGCCAAAGCAGCTCCAGTGAAGCAAGAAGTGACACTGGTCTCCTTTTTTTCTGATTAGGAAGCACTGAAGTACTCAGGTCTTGGGGGGTCCCAGGAGACTGGAGGCCACATGTGGAACTATTTACTGGTCCCCAAAGACTCTGTAGTATGTACTAGCATTGATGGGTACCAGAGCTGAGTCAATACTAATATATGGAAATCCAGACCATTTTACAGGATCTACTGCATGCACAGGATACAGAGGTCACATCATGGTCTAGAAGATCCAGGTAATTTTGGGTATTGGGTGCTTGCCCCCATGCCTGTATGATGCTTGTTTCCCTGGTTGCTGAAAACACACTGGAGGTGCACATACTGACTGGTGCTCAGGTAGACACCACACAGGGTTAATTCCTGTTGTGAATTTGTGTACTCTTAGCCACTCACATCATACACTTCTGTCACGGGCCACATGAGTTGTGTGCATGAAGCAGTACTGGCTGCCTGGCAGTCTTAAAAAGATAGGACTGTCTTGAAATTGGAAAAAGCAGGGATAATACTCCCTGCACAGAGCCCTTCAGTATGGCCCATGCAGAAGCTAGATAGATCATAGTGGATGACAATAAAGTCTTACCCCGATGCTGGCAGTCAGGATCAATTTGCCTTCACCCAGGACGGCAGGCAATGGGCCTTCCAAATGTTGACCCAAGGCTATCTGCATAGCTCAACTTTGTGTCATGGACTGGTAGCCCAAAACCTGACTACTTGGGTCAAGCTACACTGTAGTACTGTTATGTACTGATATTATGTCAACCTGATTGCCTTGCAGCTTTGAAAGCCACTGTACACAGTTTGAAGGAAGTTTTGTTGGCCTGAGGGTGGGCCATAAATGAAGACAAGGTCCAGGGATCTAGCTTGTCTGTCAATTCTTGGGTGTTAAGACCAGACCCACGACAGTACACCAATTACAGGTGTGTACGTGTTTGCTAGGTTTTTGGTAGATGCACTACACCTCGTTACCTTGCTGTGTTCTCTATACAGGATGACCAGAAGGGGTACAACATGGGGCTGGCCAGATCTAGAGGAAGCTGCTTTTCAGGACTCAAATAGGGCTGTTGCATAGGTGCAAGCCCTATAAGTCACTGACCCTCATCTGCCATTTATGCTAACTATCAGTATGGGTGATGATGGATTTGACTCAGGCCTGTGGCAAAAACCCAACACTGGTGGGTTTTGTTAACAGTTGCAGAAGTTCTTTTATTCCAACTGATAAACAGCAACAGTGTACACTGCTCTGCATGCCTCTGAGAAATCATGGGACAGAGGGCTGGTATGGATGTGAACAGCCCACCCCAAGAGTAGAGTAGCACAGGCCCCTACTCTCATGTTTTGGGGGATATACCTCCAATAGTGGCCTTTCTCTTGGCTAGCCTGCTGGTAGCCAAACTAGCAATGCTTTAGACACTCATGATATACATGGCCCAGGATCATATCTGGGTGGATGAGCTACAGAACATGACCTCAAGTCCCCATAAAAGAGAAGACAGACCTCCAGCTGACACTGGACATACTAATGGGTCTAGCTATGACCCAACTCTACAATGGACCGCAGTCGCTGTCCCACCCTGTACGGAAGTATTCTGGTTTGAAACTAGAACAGGAAGGTTGAGCCAATAGCCAGAGTTGCAGACAGTGTGATTGCTTGTGATACATGATGAAGGCCCCCTAAGTAAGTGCACAGACAATTGGGTCATCTTGGGACTGATGTCCTATAAAGCACCATCCTTTAGAGGGTGCCGATCTGCAGTGAGATGTATGAGATTGTGGCCAAAAAGCTGACCATGCAAAGTATCATGGTTCAGGACATAGACCCTTCCTCACAGGGAAATGACTTAACAGGTGCACTGACCAGGTATTGTAATGGTTGACCACTATGAACAGAGAATAGTGTCCGACCAAACACAGACGGCTGCATATGGGATGCCATATAGCATATGACCAGGGGCAATGACCACAGATCTAGACCTCCAAGTTGAAGCTGATGCTCAACATATAGCCCAGGCCTTATGTTATATTCCAGCCTTTGTTGTTGCTTATGGATGAAATTACTCAAATGAAAAAAGTGGTTTTGCAAAACCACATGGTTCTTGATTTTTCGACATGCACTTGCACCCTGTTACATATAGAACATTTTATAGAGCATTTTGAAGGGGTGGGCTATTGAGGAACCATTCAGACTGCTTCAAAGCTCAAGGGTGTCTAAGGTCATCTGAGGACATGACCGTGCTTGACTAGTGCAGGCATCCAGTGGGATAGTTATTGACCATGACTTAGCACAGGTAAACAGCACTATGTAAGAGTGTGACCATGAGACAACAACCTATGTACGAATTATACAGTAAAAGATGCAGGTAGCTCTTGCGCTCACTCTCACTCTGCCTCCCTGCTCCGCTCCATGCTGCCCGCTGTTGCTGTTGTCTTACATATGTCTTTAACAACAAGACCTCACCTGCAAAAATCTCCCTTGGACCCCCTGAGTGGGCTGACAGGAATAGAAAGTGAACTATAATTTTCTGAGAATACAATCCTTCAAGTACTGATTTAATGGCTCAGTTCTTATGATGATTAACAACAGGACACAATTCAAAAGCAAAAGTTCCTATCAACCTGAAGTAAACTGAGCAGTAAGAATGGCCCAGAAGCCTGTAACAGCCAAGGCCCACAGTACTGCTAACACCTCCCCTAATAAGAATGTGCCTTGATACAATAAACATAACAGGTCAGGTTCTCAGAGGCAGTTCTAAAATGTTTTTATTAAGTCAGACTTTATTTTTGGCAAATGAAAAATTCAGGGATGTGTCCTTTTCCTACCAAATCAGTGACAGTACCATCTCTGTTAGGCTTCTTTCTAAATAGTTTTCTACTTTATTGTATTAAACATAACAGCTACAATCTGATTATTATTTTCATATCTTAACTCAAATGATTGTGCTTCAAAGGTGTGCATGTACATACAACCTACATGCAACTGCAGCCCCCATTTTGGGACCCCTTTTTAATGACTTAGCTGATACAGTGTCCCAGGATAATGAAGGCAGCCACAAAATGGATCCATTACAAAAAGTACTTCTTTGTATATATACTTTTACATTGTAAAGAAAATTATAACTTTTTAAATGGCACATAAATGAACATAGCTATAGCATTTATTTAATAAAAATTAGAACATTACTAATACTGTATTTATTTCTAGACCAGATGGCACTTACACACTTACATATACTTATAATACAAGTACATCAGAGAAACTAGGTATTTTCTTGGATGTAGTCACTTAGGAATTATAAAAAGGTTAAGTACCATCAGCATATATAGTACAATCTCATATCTACTATCTTATCTTCAATAATTTCAGAATGATGGCTTTGGATTTTAAAACTTAAGCTTCTCCTGAATCTCCCAAAGGGTTTCTGCACTCTTTTTCAAACGGGCCTCCTCTTCAGGGGTCAGCTTTATCTTTATAAGATCTGATATGCCATTTTCTCCCAGGATACATGGAACACTGAGGAATACTTCTTTATCTATTCCGTAGAGGCCCTTAATTAGGGTGGAAACTGGATGTGCTCTCCTTAGGTTCTTCAAAATACTTTCCGTCAAATCAGCTACAGATAGGCCAATGGCCCAAGAAGTGTAACCCTTCCTTTTAATAATTTCATAGGCACTGGTGATCACTTCTTTGTGAACATTTTCCCACTGCTCAGGATCTTTATTAGTTCCTATTGCCATGTTCAGCTTTTTTAGAGGGACACCAGCGATGTTCACTCCACTCCACACTGGAACACTTGAATCTCCATGTTCTCCAAGAACCCACCCATGACAGCTTTCAGAGTGGATACCAAGCTTTTGGCCCATTAAGAAACGGAAACGAGCAGTATCCAGATTACAACCACTTCCAATAACACGGTTTTTGGGGAGTGCACTTAGTTTCCAGGACATAAAAGTTAAGACATCCACTGGATTGGAAACGACAATCAGTTTGCAGTGGGGGCTGTACTGCACGACAGTGGGAATCATTAATTTAAAGATGGCTACATTTCGTTGGACTAAATTGAGGCGTGATTCTCCTTTTTCCTGGCGTGCACCCGCTGTGATAATCACTAGGCTGGAGTTGGCGGTGACACGGTAATCTTTGCTGCAAATGATATTGGGCATTTTCACGAAAAGGCTGCCATGTTGAAGATCCATTACCTCGCCCTTCAGTTTATTTTCACTAACGTCCACAAGGGCAAGTTCGTCAGTCAAGCCTTTTAGCAAGATGCTGACAGCGCAGGCCATGCCCACAGATCCGGCTCCTATAATGGAGACTTTACTGTGACAAACGGGCTTTTCCAAGGTGAAATTCTTTATAAGCTCACCCTTCACGGTTGCCATTTTGGACACAGGTGTCAAGGTCCAGGGGCTGCTGAGGGGCACTGCATGCCAGGGCCGCAGAGCCACTCCTGGGCCCCAGAAACTCACCCCCGCTGCACTTGCTCTTGGCAAGGCCCGCAGAATGCCTGTAGCCCAGTTCATGGCTGCTCAGTCAAGAGGAGGAAGGAGGAAAAGTGGCAGAAACCCACAGGCAAGATCTCGGAGGCATAAAAGCAGCCGTTTGACCGTTGAACTCTACTGCGCTGACGCAACTGGAAACCCCGCCCCCTCCTGGCCCCGCCCCCATCCCGGCCCCCGCCCCGGCCCGGCCCCGCCCCCAGCCCGGCCCCCTGCGGCTGAGTGGGCACCAGCCTGGCTTTGCTTATCACCGCAGCACACAGACGTCTAAGTCTTCCTTAAGTTAGTCAGACTGGTGCGTCCTAAAAGGCTTCCTCTCCAACAAGGGAATTCTGGAGTTTTACAATCACTTCCGTTTTTGACATATGTAACGGCCCAACACAGATTTCTGGCATTATTAGTTTTCTATTCTTACTATGCATGCCAAGTGAGAATGCTTCTATCAACTACAGATGAAAATAACATTAAAATTTGTGCCGCAAAGGTGCACATACAGTACTTTGACTATAGTCTCCTACCATTTGCCAGTATCATGGGATAAATGGGCTCCTGTTTTCCAGTGTATCCAGCTGAAGTGCCTTTTATTTAGGAAGGATTTTATTCACTGCCTTAACTGTGACCCACACCTGGAGAAATCAGTGCGTGCTTACCAACTGGGAAGCCTGTGTTTTACTGCAATACTGAACACTCAACTGAGAGAACACATCTCTTTTTGGTCATACCAAAGAAAAGCCTGTGATCCTGTCTTCTTTAAGAATAACTGCTCAGGGGGCTGGGGATTTAGCTCAGCAGCATAAGAACCTGCCTTGCAAGCAGGCGGTTGTGAGTTCGATCCCTGGTACCGATTTAAAAAAAAAAACAAAACAAAACAAAAAAAAGAATAACTACTCAAGTAGAAAGATGGTCACATAGCCCTCTATTAAACTGAAGGTATCTTTTAAATATTCTTGAAATGACAGATTTTTAATCAATCCACAAATCAGATTATTGATTTAAATAGTGAAATAACATTACTTAGCTAATACAACGTGGCATCAGTATGTCTTACCTTTTCTGCATTTTTCTGGGCAGCCTTGTGAACTTTCTTTCTTTATTAAGACATGTAGTTCAGGCTGGGCTTGAACTTACTATGTAGCCCCGGTTGGTCTCAGACTCGAGGCACTTCTTCTGCCTCAGCATCCCAAGTGCTGAGATTACAGGCCTACATCATTATGCTTGGTGTAAATTATTTCCTTTCAAATTTCTAAGGAAATGTAAACTTCACATCTGATGAAATGCACTGATAAACTCAATAAACTACAAAAGCTCAAATTAAATAATGCTTCTTCCTTTCTCCCAACTTACCAAAATTTTAACCATATAATGATTGCTCAAACTGCTGCCTTTTGTTCTAAGATGTTATGCTCTCCCAGAATGGGGCTTCTTGGTACACATAGCACTTTCATAATCAGCAAGAACAGTTCAGTTTTATGATTATTAAATCCTGACAAAACTGATCATCTATATTCAGGATTTGAAAAGCTACTATCATTCTTCCTGTCACTGAAATGTCATCCAGGGAAAGAGGGACAATAAGCACAGGAGCTAGTGAGGGATGAGGAAAGTATGACACTTGGGGAGGTTCAGGCAGTCCTGTTTTAGCCTGGTTTCATATGCCTCCAAAAATAGGAATTTTCTCCACAAACAGACTTATAGTAGCCATCATCAAATTAAAAACAAATTTGGAAAATGATCACAATTGGTGGCCAACATTTTAGAGGGACTCTTTTTTTTAAAAGACCAACTTTTGATCACTATCATTTTAAAATCCCAGTTCTCACTTGAAATGTTTCAACCTGATGATACTTCCCACCTTCTTGCTATAATGATTCCTTTGACCAGTCAAGTAATTTTCCAGGATAAGTGCTTTGAGCATGAAATTCAAGGACATAAAGACTCTTAGCTGGATGGCTTCTTCTAAAGTAATTTTCTTCCTAGAGTTTGAATCTCTTCAGAAATCTGGTCATAGTGCCTCTTCACTTTCTCCTTAGCCACACTAAATCAATTTTGAGGGGGAAAACCTCTCCAAAATAAAAATATCTCAAACAAAGTAATGTTTAAAAATTTACAGTAAGACAGACGTATATAACCTCTAGAGTAGATTTAGATCTATTCAAAGCTGTGAAAAGCCAAATATAGCCAGACAGCTAATGGCTTTCTACCTTAGATGGCCCATTACTCCTTTTGAACTGGAAGCCAAACTCAAATGACCTATTCAAAATGCACTGTAGTATAGCAGCTGATGGCAGCATCATACCTTAACACTTTTGGTTATATCACTCAGCCACTAAGTACAGAGAAAGCAGGAAATCAAGACAACCAGCTTGTTTCTGGATCTAGAACAGCTACAGCTCAGTCACTCTGTTCCGTCTACCTGGAATCAGCCAGCTTCCCTCCCTTCCTTTTCTATAGGAGTCTAGTTCCAGTATTTCATCCTCTCACAGTTCTCTGCCAACCCTCAAAGCTGAACGGACTTTCAAAATTTTATTATCACTATTATATTTTATACTTTTCTCCATTTTAGAATATACCACACATAATAAATGTTAAACACTTAAGAATGTGTCGTTCTAGGAGGGATCAACCTTATTTACCAGTTTATGCCTAGTCTTATAGAACTCTGCACATGAATAGGTATGCAGTAAATGCTTAGGGTAGAAAACAATGAGTAAATATCTATGGACTTAAATTAGGCTAGCGAGAGAACTAAGAGATGAGTAAGATGGAAAGGCAGAAATAGAACCTACCTATCTGGTGCTAGAGTGCTGACCACAGACATAAGTAAAAATGGGCAAAAGTGATGCTTGTTTGGAGTAGTAAGGCTGATGCATATATTTCAAATACTATAAAGCTGTGGATAAGTTAGACATTTCTCTACTGTTTTCAGAGCCAAGCTATTCTCCAACCTTTACCAAGTTAATACACAAAATAACAAAATCTACAGTGCTAGAACAAGTAAAATAAATGTGCAATGACAGAGAGAATATTTTTATCCTTTAAAGTTACTTAAAATGTTTTGTTTTTGGAACTCTTAAAATAATAAGGAAATCTTTGATTTGGAAAAAAAGATGCAATAAAAACAGTGCTTTAATTAACTTTATAAGCTGATCTGAAAGTGAACAGAGCATCATCGAAAGATAACTATTTAAAACGTTTCTTTGTGATTTGAAAACCATAAAATGCATATTGTAGTTTTAAAACAAATTAGTAGCCCATAATTCTGTTGCTACAAGATACTAAAGTAATCCTTGAGGGGCGGAGGGACACTTTACAAATTCCACAGCACAGAAGTATTTCCCTTTGTCAGTGGCACTGAAAATGCTCAGGAAAGGACAGAGCAGGACCATGAAATCTGCCTTCCAGTTAGTACAAAGGAAAAACATCAGTTCAAAAAGCAACACGAGGAACCACTCCCACTTATGGAATTAAATACTTTAACATAAATAAATTATCCAAATTGCATTTTTGTTCTCTAAAGCCATTTTTATACTTTTTTTTTTTCTCTTGAGGTGCTAGGAATGAAACCTAGGCTCTTAAGTATGCCAGGAAAGTACTAAAGTACTTTCCACTGACAACACTCTCAACCTTAAATGTCTTTTTTGATGAAATGTTAAATAGCTACTTGTATTAGTTATTTTAAAAAGGAAATATTTTAATGTGGCACAATACATGAAAAAAAAATGTTACTGTGTATCCAAATATCCTAAGTCCTATCTGAAGCTTTACAGCTATAGATTGCAGATGCCATTTTATGAATTCACTGTTTAGTCTCTGTGATTGGATTAAGTAAATCGTACTATAGTTCACAAAAAACAATAGCTTTACTCACCCTCTTCAGATGACATCAGGTGATAAGAAGATTGTCTGTGCATGGAAGTTACTTTTGAGATAGAAACTAAAATTAACTTTGTAAAGAAAACCTGCCAAAACAGATTAACTCTGTGTTATAAAAGTTAAATTTTAATTGCTCCAAGACTCTATCTAGACAAAGAACAGAGTTAACAGTGGTACAAGATACAGTGGTCCCGTAGGCTCAGAGCCTAAGGAGAAATACAGCCTCCTGCACCCACAGGTGTCCAAATATGACAGATGGCTAGGATGCCACAGCTGGATTCTTTAGCTGTCATGCCACTGACATTATAGACCAGCTGATTCTCTGTGAGCAAGTATCCTATATTGTGCAGAATGTTCAGCAGTATCTTTTACCTCTACCCACTAGATGACAGCAGAGCCACCCATTATGTCAACCAAAAGTGTGCCCAGGCACTCTCACATATTCTGGGGCAGAATGAGGCATAGTTTTGCCTCCAGCTGAGAACCAGTAAGTTAGAGTAAGCAGGGGGCAGAACACAGAGAGACTCAGAAACCACTAAGGAACTTGGAGTTAATTCTCAAGGGAAAAGATAACCCCTGAAATGGTAGAAGCAATGTGAACATATTTTACTTGACAATAAATATCTACTCCATATAAGTGACTATTACAGGCCTAATAAGGGTATAATGAACACAACAAAAATGAGATCTCTATATTTTTATAAACATAGATAAGCAAGAAAGTAGTAAAAATAATTTCATTTTGTGATAGGTGCAGTGACGAACAGAGGATACCTCAGAGAGTAACTGACTGGTGAGAGGGCAAGGGCTGTTTGGCTTCAGAATTAACTCTCCCAGGCAGTACCTCTGAGGAGCTGAAATAACTTTGGGTTGAAAGCTTGGATGGCAACTCTGAGGACCCGGACAGGGGCTTCCTGGCAAAGCTAGAATAAAGGCCCCAGGCAGGAATAACCCGAGGGTGCTGACGGAACAAGGCTGGCAGGTGAAGGTGGGCAACGGCGGGGATTCAGGCTCAGTGAGGGAGGGAGGAGAGGCCTCACTGTATAAACCTCCTCCAACAGGAAGCTACTGAAGGGTTTTAAACAGAAGAATGATAGGATCTGGCTTATATTTTAAAAATAGTCTGCATGGAGAAAAATCTAGAGGAACTGAAGGCAAGGCTGGGAGACAAGACAAGAAACTGTCAATGCCCTAGGCACACATAAATGCAAGTAGAGAGGGAGAAGTCAAGCTGTGTTCCAAAGCAGGCCTGACAAGCAGAATTCACTAGTGGATTAGAAGGGATGAAGGGAAATGAGAGAACCCAAAAGAATTCTTGCCTGGGCTTTTTAGTTTGAACCAGGAGGACAGGATGATGGTGGCATTTCCTGAAATGGGAAAGGTGAGTGGAGGAGGCAAGGAAATCAAGAGTTCATGCTGGAATGTGGTCCACGGACACCCAAGTGAAGCCAGAAGGCTGGAGTTATATATTTGGATATCACTATATTGGACAGACTGTTTTAAGATCCCATTGGCTTTATGAGCGAATCAAAGGACTGAACATCAGTGGACAATGGACAATGGAAGAGTCTCAGTATGAAGCCACCAGACACTGAAAGCCAGCTGGGGAAAGAGCCAGCACCAGTAAGGTCAAAAGTATCTCAAAAACCCCCGGACAATGTTTCCTGGTAGACAGGATTCTTAATTGTGTTCAGTGCTGCTGCAAAGTCAAAGAACACAGGATAAAAACCTGGACTTGACAACAAGGAGGGCATTGGTGACGTGGACAATAGTAATGTCAGTATAGTGCCAGGGTAAGAAGCTGGATGGAGGAAAGAAAGCAAAGGAAGTGGACACTGCAATTATGGACTCTCTTTTGGGGAAATTTTCAGTAAGGGGCTAGACAAATGGATTGGTAGAAAACAAGGAGTATCAAGGAAGAATTCTGAGGTGGGAGAAGTCAGAGCACAGCTGTACACACTACAGCACAGAGGAAGAAACTGAAGTCAGCAAAGGCTGAGGGCTACGACAGCAGCAAAGTCACTAGGTAACGAGCAGAGGCAGCGGGTGAGAGCCTCTGGTAACAGCATAACTATTTTACGCCCGGTAGACAGTAAAGATACAGATATATAAGTCTGGGTAAGGTGAAGGCCCAAACACCTTGGCAGCAGTATGGAGAAACAGTTACGGAAAGGCAAAGTGGGAGCTGAGAGAGCAAAATAGCTGTTAGGATCATATCCACGGCAACATGGTTCCCCTAACTGTAGTGGTGGTAGGGTGCGGAGAGGCAAGGTTTGGTGAGAAAGACTGTGGTCATGAATTGGGAGCCTGGCTCTTCCATCTGATGGCTTTGTGGAAGATGCTGCCATTTACAGAGAGACTGACCCAGAAGTAGGGTAGTCGGCTGACAGTTCAGTGGTGAATGCAGTGACGCCTGCAGCTTCCCCAGCATCAGTGTCTCTAGCCATAGAGATTCATGAGCCTGGAGCTCAGGGTGACGAGAAATCACCAACTGGCTGGACCCTGTGAAGGAGAAAAGATAAGGGCAAAGGAGGGACCTTACGCATAACTGTGTGTCTGGTCACACTACAGCATCTCAAAACTAAATGGAATAGTTGGAAGTGACAAGAGCTAACTAGGATCAAGAAAAGTTATTTAAAAAATAAAAGAACTATAAAAGCCCAGAATCTGCTAGCACAAGAACAAACAATACTGATACACCTAACTCATTAAGAGAAAATCAAATTATGTTTAGCACAATTTGTACTCTGGAAAGATATATAATAACAAAAAAATTTTTCTTCTTAAAAATTTTAGAAATATTTCAGTTAAGAAAATTCAATTTGAGGCCAGTTGTGGTGACACATGCATATATAATCCCAGGACTGTGGAGACTGACACAGGAGGATTTCTAGGAGCTGGAGGCAAGCCTGCACTATAAAGTGAGTTCAAGGCCGGCTTGAACTGCACAGTATCAAAAAGACAAAAAAGAAAAGAAAAGAAAACTTGAAAGAACATTTTATTTTCTGATACAATGGAAAATGAATACTATGTAAGTACATTAACATATCTAATAATATAGTCCTCTTTCATAACTTTTTAATTTTTTTAGGCTTTTAAGTGATTAACCAATAACAGGTAATAGGTAGCTTTTAAAATGAGGCTTGGGGGCTGGGGATTTAGCTCAGCGGCATAAGCGCCTGCCTTGCAAGCAGGCAGTTGTGAGTTCGATCCCTGGTACCGATAAAAAAAAAAAAAAAAAGAAGGGGACAAAACCCCGAAGTGAAACCAAGGCTATCTTGTCTCCTGTGGAATACTGCTGGGAACATTCTTGAGGTAACTGAGTCTGAGCTGGGTCTGGCCTCTGAACACTGCTTACCCCTTCCACTGATTGCTGACCATTCCTACTTTAAAAAACACTTGAGGCCCAATATTACTTATAAAAGGAAACTGGTGAGTTTGTAAAAACTGGTGAGTTTGTAAAAGAGGTATTTTGAAAATATGCCAAAAATAGTACTCCCTTCCTAAAAAAAAAAAAAAAGAAAGAAAGAAAGAAAAAAGGACATTGGTCATTATACCCCATTTTGAACTCAGCAAGACCTTGCCACTCAGAATGTCACCAAATTGCTCCTGCATGTGCCTCCTCCCAGCTCCATTTTACGCCATGAGAATGGCAATAGAAAGGGAAATAAGGCTTACAGAGGCGTTTATGTCATCTCAGACTTGAACTTACTAACTGATGCACATGCTGTCTCCAATTTATTTCATAGTGGTTCCTCAATCTGTAAAGTGTTTGAAAGCCTAGAACGCCAGAGAAGAAACACCTTTTGCAAGCTCATGACTCTGTTCTGTGAGTTCTGGTAAGTCCAGTCAAAAAGAGGAAGCAAGACCCAGTGTGCTGATGAATAGAAACTGGAGTAAGACATTGAAGTATTCTTTCTGGAAGAAAAGCTGGTAAGATCTTTGAAGCCCTAGAATTAGATTAGGCACAGACAAAAACAGAAGTTGTTTTTGCCACTTTTCAAACTTCCCTTGCAGATCACTCCAAACTGCTTACAGTTAAACAATTTACCAAAAACTCAAGACTTGTTTTTAATCTGAATTAAACTAGTGAAAACTGTATAATACTTAAAAGTCTGTTTACTTTCTTATGTACCTTCCAAGTTAAAAACTTCTAGGATACTATATATATTATATATGGGATCTAGCAGTCACTCTATAATGCTACTTCATTTCAGATTATTAAGTAAAGCTGGATGCAGTGGCACATGTCTGAAATCCCAGCACTTGGGAGGTTGAGGCAGGGAGGATCACTGAGAGTTTCAAGGCCAGCTTGGGCTACAAGTGAGTTCAGGACCAGCCTACCTACACAGTAAGTCCCTGTCCCAAAAAAAAATTAATAAGTAAAGCTAGTGTAGGAATAAATGTATTAATAAAAGATTCACTGGAATATTGGCAAAAATCTTTCTCAAAAAGAGAAAGTTGATTTCAATTAGCAAAAGACCTCAGGTTAGTTATAGGGTTAAGAGTTAATCCTAAATATTAATATAAAAATTATACTTAACAGCAGCAACTACAAAAAAGTACTGGGGAAAAATAAATCTTGAGAGTGCATTCAGTATTATCCCATAAGAAAGATATACTACTTTTCCTTCCCTTAAAATCTCTCTTTGAATAGCAAAGTCAAATGATCATTTTTAGAGAAATACTTTTAAAAATACAACCCTTTTTACTTTTGGCTTTGTAAAGAAAAGGGGACCTGGGTTCTTGAGAAAGCAGCCATATCTCTGTAAGCTGAAGAGAAGGCAGGATGCAGCCTGCAGATGTCTGCAAAATTCTGATCACAAATTATTTCCATAAAGCCCTTACAGCAGCAGAGAGACCGAAGAGGTGTAGTCTTAAGCAGCAGATGACTTCCCATCTGTCAGATTAGCAAGACTTTCAAAGTACTAGGATCTACTAATGGCCAAGGTGCTCAGAAACATGTATGTGCTCTCAGTATCAATACACTTTTCTGGAAGACCATTTACCAATATACTTTTTAAACACACTAATTCAACAGTAACATCTTCTGCCTTTAGGACAAATTTTCAATCAAGAAAAGTGC